TATCTTTTCCGTCTGTTTCTTTTCGCAGATATTAGCGTTTTTGACTGATAAATCCATGCTATCCTAAATATGGGTCATTTTGGCTCCTTCTTTGGCTAAGTCGTCAGGGTTTTTTCATTCCCATGAATGCCGCAGTGACCTGGTATCCACTGCAGAGTTGTGTTGGCTTGGGAGTTTAGATCACAAAGGAGTGAAAGGAGTTGTCGTACTTGAGCAGATTGTGGCTTTTGGAGAGCTTGTAGCACAGATTTGGCATCTGTGAGAATGACGGTGTTGGCTTTTAGATTTTTGGTGATTCAACAGAATGGTGGCTGCCGTTTCGAGTGCTGATGTTTCTGCTTTATAGTTGAAACAGAGATCCTGCGGGGATGGAATGGCTCTCTGTTGACCCATCTATCCACTCTATGTAGATACCTCCACCGCTGTTTCTGACTGCATCAGTTGCTGATCATCTGTGTAAACGCGATTCCACCGGTTGCTTAGGAAGTCTATCCAGGAAGTCGAGTGTCAGTCAGTAACTTGAGTATCGGAGGAGGGACTGCAGATTTGGTGCCAAGCTCTTATAAGTTTTCTCAAATTTGAAGCGGGTGATTAGTCTGGAGAGGGCGGACTTGACACGGGTCTAGTGGGGTTGGAGATTCTTCAAGAGAGATTTCGAGTCCAGAGCTGGAGTGTCTGGCCATACTTAGGAGGCTTCTTTTCAAACGTTGAAGGGTGGGGGGGGTTTTTCATGGTAAACGAACTTTTGAATAAGTATCTATTTCGTAGCACTAATAAAAGCTTTCAACTCCTGAACGTGGCACGCTGCTCCTGCAGATGGTCCTCCAGTTCTGCAGGCATTTCTCGGTCTTGCTGACTGTCTTCTGGTCCTCCTGTCCTACAAATAATCCTCCAAGTTTGTAGGAGGTCCTAGTACTGAAAACGTGTCAAAGAAAATCCTCTGAGATATTTACAGTTCAATATAAAAGTAATCATTAAAAAGGTGGTACAGCGACGTTTAAGGTGGGTTACTAATAAAGTGCAGGTATTTTAGAGAAGCCTAAATGCAAAAATAATTAAAAGCCAGAACCATCAGTGCAAATGTTCAAATTTTTTATAACAAAAGACAACGAAACAATGGAACAGTAGATGGCAATATTACGTACTGTTTTGGTTTGAA